TGTGGTCTGTCAGTCAAGTAGTCTACAATCCAGGACACCAGGGGGGCATCCACCTGCATTGCTGTCAGCTTGTCACCCAGTAGAGCTGGACGTATGGTGTTGAACGCACTAGAGAAGACAAAAAACATGACCCTCACAGTGCTCGCCGGCTTATCCAAATGGGCGTAGACATTTGTAGCCCAGGTAGATGATGGCGTCCTCAACTCCAAGTCGGGGCTGATAGGCGAACTGGAGGGGGTCCAAAAGTGGCTTGACCATGGGCCGGAGCTGCTCCAAGACGAGTCTCTCCAGGGTCTTCATGATGTGGGAGGTCAATGCCACGGGTCTGTAGTCCTTGGAGCCACTGGGACGTGACGTCTTTGGCACAGGAACGAGGCAGGATGTCTTCCACAGCAAGGGGACCCTCTGGAGACTCAGTCTCATGTTGAAGACATGCTGAAGTACTCCACATAGCTGGGGGGCACAGACTTTGAGCACCCTGGGGCTGACACCATCAGGGCCTGCAGCCTTATTTGAGTGGAGTAAATAAGAACATATTATCTCTCCAAGTGGTAGAGTAAATCATTCTCATTTTCTTTGCCAGTGTTTTAAGATCCTCAAAAGAGGCTAACACCAGTTTTCACAGACATTGTTTGTTTCACTTATTTCTTTATACATCTTAAGTTGGCTGAAAGCACTTAGAGTTTCTCAGACTAGAAGGTCAAGTGTGTAGACTTTAGGGGGGTAGGCCTATATTCACAAAAGTGGAGTATAACATAATAAGCATGTTTTATTGAGTGTATATTCACATAAATAAATACCTATTCACCTAAATACGAATTGCTGTGTTTTCGTGACCTTAGAATGAGCGTTTATATCTACATAGGGAGTGGTTCCTTGTCATCGGAGTCCGCCATGTTGTGCACCATGTTTCTACAGTAGCCCAGATTGGTCACACCAAACATCGGCTCGGGGTAAAGCTGTACACCTTTTTCACATTTGTGCATCAGCCACCTCATTAAGCAGCCCTTATGTGATGTGTCAGAAAAACACAGATTTTTTTTTAAACATGAAACTGCTTTATTCAGTGTTTTAGTGGTATAGATAATTCGGTCTTGCTGTTTTGGAGAGGAAGAGAGGATAATTTGTCCCCAGGTAAAAACCTCCTGAAAGTTTGTATCTTAAGTTTTCGGAGAAAATAGGTGAGCACACATTAGCGGGAGCTGGAGGAGCAACCCGTCTCCGACATGCCCAACAGTATAGGAGAAACACTGATTTCTAATGTGAAACTTCTTTATTCAGTGATTTTAATCGACGGTTTTAATCACCTGGTCCTTTTGTTTTGGAGACGATAAGCCAATGTGGATAATTTAGCTCCTGGTAAAAACTTGTGAACAATGCACAGTGAAGGAATTGTTACTGGGATAAGTTTCAGCTGGTTGCAATCTGGATTCCTCACCACTAGATGTCACTAAATCCCCCCCTAATCTTACCCACTGTTCCTTTAAAGAACTGAATAAGGTTTCACCACAACTGAACTATTGACAAATATCAGCTTTTTGGGACTAAAAGAGATTCACTGTTATTGTTTGACTAATGTCAGCTCTGTATATTTTGCATAAACTAGCAGGTGGTGCTTGTTTGTTTTCCCTTTACTCTTCCTTGAGAAGAGCAGAGGTTATGATAGCAAGACACAATGTTCAATGAGGACCACGAATAAAAGTCCATTCAACTCCATGGTATTTGGGAATCTGCTTTGTTGGCCAAGTATGTGTTCACATACAAGGAATGGTTTCATTGTATACAGAAATAGAGGCACAGCTAAAAACAAGGACAACAGGGCTGGACAAAGACATATTTATGTAATGGCAGAATGTTGGCTGAATGTTAGAAATCCTAAAGATGAATAACTAACAAATTTGGAAGGTGAGGTTTATTTTTATTTTATATATTTATTTAGTTATATTATTATTATTATTATTAGTAGTAGTAGTAGTAGTAGTAGTAGTAGTAGTAATATTTATTTCTTATTTTATTATTTTTATATTTTATTTTATTTATTAATTTCATTTTTTTAATGAACTGAGCCTTTACTGAAGCTGAACAGTGTCCAATAATATAGTGGCATAGAAGAGCAGTGTCATTGTTTTCCTGTGGAGGGCAGCAATGAGCTGAAGCGCCTGAAAACAACGAAGAAGAAGAGAGCCGGTGTATTTCCGGGTTTATGCTGACGCGTCCCTCTTCTTCTCTTTCTCCGACGTGTCAGTCCTCTTGTGTCCAGAGCCGAGCAGCAGACAGACCGGTCAACCCGCCGACATGGCTCCTAAAGGCAGCAACAAGCAGCAGTCAGAGGAAGACCTTCTCCTTCAGGACTTCAGCAGAAACCTTTCAGCCAAGTCCACCGCTCTGTTTTACGGAAATGCACTCATCGTTTCTGCCATCCCCATCTGTGAGTAACGTGCAGACAGACTGGAGCAGCTAGCTTCTGCTAGCTAGCTAGCTAACACCAATTCATTGGAGAAGTAACGTTAATTTAGGAAAAGTTGATTAAAAGACGTGCTTGTAGGGAGTAACCTGAATGAACTTCAACACCACATACACGTTTAAAGACAGGAGGCTATAGTAAAATAATGTTTTTAATAAGATTGAGTGTGACATGCTAAAAGTTGGCATTGCTAACTCTGATGTGAAGTGTGTAGAAGTTTCTCTAGGTGCAAAAGCAGGTTAGGATAATAGTATTAAACTATATAGACAGGTAGCAGTCTTTGTAAGTATTGTATGTTTTGAAAAGCAAAAGGAAAAAAGCCTTCACCTTACTCTGCAAATAGTTACTGGAAAACACCTTCATTATAATATGCATTATACCAGCATAATGCATATTTACTGACTTGATCATTGACTCTGTCTTTCCAGGGCTGTTCTGGAGGATTTGGCACATGGACCTTGTCCAGTCTGCAGTCTTGTACGCTGTGATGACCCTGGTCAGCACCTACCTGGTGGCCTTTGCGTACAAGAACGTCAAGTTTGTTCTCAAACACAAGTAAGTACGATGAACAACACTCTGCATTTGTCCAGTCTAAAGTTACTCTGACATGTACATGTACATTAGTTGGATCAGGGATACAGGGATGTTACTCTGACTGCTGGTATGGGTAACTTGTTTTAAGATTATTTCTTTACTTTATTAGATAGGACAGACTAAGCATGAAAGAGGGAGAGAGGGGTTGACGAGCAGCAGATATTTGTGGGTTGGATTTGAACCTGTGGCCGCTGTGGCAAGGACAGTGCCTTTATACGTGGGTCGCCTGCTCTACCCACTCAACGACTGGGCGCCCCAGTAAGGGAAACAAAGTAGTAATCTGGTGTGCAATACAACAGTAGTTTGCATTAATCAGTATTTTTTTTTCCTTTTGTCAGTCGAGTTCCGTTGACTACGTAAAGGACTGCATCAAAGTACTTTTTTTATGAGCTTGACAGAAATCTTTCACTAACTTAATGTTTGCGACCTTTCTCTCTTTATCCCACAGAGTTGCCCAGAAACGTGAGGATGCCGTTTCCAAGGAGGTGACCAGGAAGCTGTCCGAGGCAGACAACCGCAAGATGTCCCGCAAGGAGAAAGATGAGAGGTGAAACGTGCATTATCTTGTAAAGCCATACCTTAATACAGTGTGTTGTGCACGGTGTTTGCACTTGAGGGTTCGCAATTAGCTGTGACAAATTTAAGTGTTTTAGATGTAGTATGACAAAACGTAAATGTGGTGGTGACGTATTCAGAGAGCAGTTATACAGACATGCAGTGATTTCAGTGATTAAAACCCATGAAGACAGCTAGTAATCCTCTCATGAAAAAGAAACCCTTTAATAACATATGTCGGAGTTAAGTCTTCTTAAAGGTTGGTTAGAGTTGAAGGGCCTCTCTACATTTTGACTTCCTGTTACAGAATAAAAGTCTCTTGATTCAGTGTAAGCGAAGGGTTCTCTGCAGTGCCTTCAAGAACCATACTGGAAGTTTTTTTTTATGTTTGTTTAGGATCCTATGGAAGAAGAATGAGGTTGCCGACTACGAAGCCACCACCTTCTCCATCTTCTATAACAACACCCTCTTCCTGGTGCTCGTCATCGTCTCCTCCTTCTTCTTGCTCAAGAACTTCAACCCCACCGTGTATCCTTTTCATCAAACTGTACATGTCATCAGCAGTAACATGTGGGATTGACAGGAAGCCTTACACATACTGTGTCAGCAGTCATCAAATGCTCGTCTTTATATATAAGCTGGATGCATTGCAAGAGGTATTTGCCGATTTTCAACCAGGTCTGTGTCACGTGCCGTTTGCAGAGTGTGTGGATGGAAGTTGTTAAGGCACCCTCGTACTGCCAGCCAAAATCTGCTGGATTGTGAAGACTCATTTCACCTCATCGAGCAGACTTTCGCTCACAACACGAGGGGAGTCCTAATACTCTTCATCTGCACACACTGCCCACACCATGGTGACACAGACCTGGTTGAAAATCAGCTAGGTATCCCTTTAACAAGTTGTCATTATCACTCTGTCAGTGCTTGTTTTTGCCTTAACTCCCCATTTTTCCAGCAACTACATTCTGTCCATCAGTGCCTCATCAGGACTCATTGCTCTGCTGTCTACAGGCTCCAAGTAAAGGAGGAAGAAAAGGGGAATAAAAGCTGGAGGGATGAGGGGTGGGATTGGATTGGGTAGGGAGTTGGTTAAAGATGGGTTTACACTATACAGTTTTTCACTTAAGTTGGGAATGGGGGTTAAGGGACCGAAATACCACATTTCAACTTCATGAAATTCATGATCAAATGTCTGGAGGGTGTTTCTCCAGGTCTGTCTCTGTTTTTTTGTAACAAATAAATGACCAGGAATATCTGTTCTCCGTGTTGATCGTGTGTGTGTGTGTGTGTGTGTGTGTGTGTGTTGCAGAATAAGATTAAGTGAGTTTGAAACCCATGAGGTTTAACTTAACTAGTAGAGAGAAGAAAAGAGAGACACTGATGTTTCCATTGGCAATGCTTTTATTTATAATCACACTTTCATATCGACTATATACAGAGAAACCACTGTTCAGGAGAGAAATGATACACTGATGGATTGTATGTCACCGTAACCAGACAAAAAAAAGAACTAAACTCAATGTCAAGTCTTTTCCATCCACAAATGTAGACACAGGTCGTAGAAAACAACATCTGTAGAATAGATCAGTCAACACGTTTATGAGAACTGATCGAGGCTGGCTTTATATCAGAGCAGGAAATCTTGGATTAAAGATTATGTGTAACATTGCAGGACGACTTATGTTATCTGAATATGTTAGTGTTTAGAATTTAGCCACAGCTTAACTGTTAATAGTTTATTCCACTTTGGCCTTCAGACCTGTTTCCCAGAGTGTGAACTTGTTGAAGATGGCTGTTACTTTTCATCCAGGCAATGCTGTCATATTTAGGCCAGTTTCCCTAAATTATCTAAGTATCAATACATTAAATTCCATTCATTGATCTCCATAGGAAATAATGTATTGCTTGTTTCCTTCTGTTGAACTGGTAAAGACTCTTCTGAAAACAAACAGGTGCATCATGAGGCAAACGGTTGGTAGAAGGAGAAGCTACTGATTCCTGCTGCATCGGTAAAACCGTATTAAAGACGATCACATTTACCTCACATTCTAGGAATTGTATACTTAATTTTGAGTCGGATTTCTGAAGGTTACCTCTACACAAACACTAGTGAGGGTTTGACCGCAAAGTTTTCTGTCCTCTCAGGGAACAGGTAAAACACACTATAGATTAGGGAATCTAATACTAAAAGAAAATGCATACACATTGTTGAATTCTCACTTTGCAGGACAGCATCCGAACACCATTTAACAACTCGTAATGAAAGACATCCCTGATTATTTTTTCCTGTAGAGGGACTCAAGACAAGGCACTCTATCGGGTGGAGAAGTCTCGACACACACTGGCACGCCGCGGTCCAAAATAGTCACTGACTTAAACTGGCAGGCAGCTCGTTGACTTGCAGTCAAACTACAAGTACATGTTAGTACACATTACACATTTTGCCACCAGGGGTTTTAGGGGAAAAGAGCAAAGGAAAAATTGGGTTTCTGGATGTTTTATTTTGTTAGTAAATTGCTTGGCTTTTGCATCTCAGTGATGACAAACTGGAGGTCAGGTCACACTTCTCTGTATGTAACACCAAGTCGATGCAAATAGTTATAAGAAAGTCTATTCATCATCCAAGGCCAGACCTCTCAAAATAAACCATGAGCCAAACACTGTGTACTGATGCGTCGCTCCAATATGTGTGACAGAATTTCTGGCAGGAGTGTACATGTGCTGAACTTTGCTTTGATTAAAATCTGGAGGGTGTTTGTGCTACAAGTCAACAAATGTACACCGAGTACAAGACAGTGACTTGACTGGAACCGGGCCAACATTTCTGCTGATCTCTGTGATGGCTTGTTTTCCAGATGAAAAAGAACCAGAACAACAACGCATGAAGGTGAAGTGAACAGTGAGAGCTGAGCCACCTGCTCAGAGATAATGACTCAAGGTCAGTGCTTAAGTTTAAACAGAAGCTCATTACTTACAGAAGCTCCGTCTTTAAATAATGCCATTATTAATACAGATTTCCTAATCTGACTTCACGATGCAACAAAGAAAATTGACTCTTACTCCTTATAAATATTTATAACACTTATATGAAATGTCCTTCAGGAGCCAGAAATGTTTTCTGTGAGGATGATGGGATGAAGAGTGACTCGAACACTGCGACTAATGCAGTGACTCTGCAGAGGAGCAATAAAATAACTCTATTTACATCTTATTTATATATTAGCCATACAGTACTGTGAAGTCCTCATACGCATGAGAGGCTTCTTCATGGTTTTGCTTATGTTACAAGGTATGCCTTAACATTTTATGTACATCCCCATAATTCTCCAAACAATATCTCAAAATGTCAAAATAAATTTATATCTACTACTCTAGAATAAATAATGTACTATACTGTAATCTTTGCCACATCCCACCTTGCCTCTTTGCCTTCTTGTGCCATTAACAAGCAATTTTTGCTGTAATAATAACCATTACCAGCCAGGAGGTTCGTCATCCTTCATCACGCAGATTTGTTATATGCTTAAGTCCTTTACTGCAAGATTCATCGAGGCAATCGGGAACGAAGGTTCAGTTCACAGGCAGAAATGGAGTCAAATGTCTCCATAATGAATGCAAACAGAGAGAAAATTAGTCCGCTTTTTGCAAAGCATTATTTCTCTCTTCTATAATCTACTGAAGCAGAGGAGCAGTTCCTGTAAAAGACCACATGAGGGCAACATGCTTCACTCTCTCCCCCAACAGAGCCCCATCCCACTGACACTATTGATCCACAATCCTTTGCTTCACAGGCGGTCACGGACAGGAGACTAGCTTGCAGGACTCCTTTCTGTTGTTTCATTATGTGCTTTGTAGAAAAGTAAAGAGAGGCACACTATAGCAGGAGAAACATGCACCTGTTGGTTAATACACTCAGGATTTGCAGCCTATAATATCTACTGAATACTATTCTGTGCTATACGTAATACAGGGCTGAGTACATTTGGTAGGTAGTCTGAAGCGAATTCAAGCTAATAAGGAATTGGTTCGTTGAGGTCTTGTTTGTAAAGCTTCTTTTTTTTCCAGAGAAGTATATATGATCTTTATCAAACCTCACTTTTCATTGGAAAAGACACTTTATCCGACGACTTGAGCGTGTACCCTTGACACGAGAGGTGAGGGTATTGAGCTCACCTGGCCATTTTGTTCGCTGCACTGCATAGCAATTGAATGAAAGCGCTGACTAACTGACCGGGGGTGTTCATGCAACTAAAGCTTCGTCATGTCTGCTTCCTAAGGTACGTCTAATTTATAAGTCTGAGGTCCTTGTATTGATGTATTCAGCTAGTGGTACAGCGATTCTCATGAATAAAATATGTGCTCAGTTTGAATTTTGTGCTCAAATTAAATTACCTGTGAGTGGAAGTCTGGACATTAAAGAGGAAAGGCTTGAGACCTGAGGGTCTGAGTCATCGGGAGGATGTAGGTAGGAAAAGCGAATAAGTAACAACCGTTTCGCTCAGCAATCAAAGTGCCCTTGAGCAAGGCACTTTGACTTGTAATACTCCTGCAGTGCTTTTCATGCTGTATTTTTTAAATTCCAACTGTAAGGGTGTCTGTATGTGTATCATTGTTCTTGCCATGTTATAGAAGTGAGGGGAAAAATCAATTCAATGAATTTAATTTCCTGATGAGGCCCCTGATGGAGTTGAACTGAGACATAGTGCTCTATGGGTAGGACTAAGCTCTGCATAGTTATATTTGAATGGACCAGCGCTGATAGAGTTACCACCTTGGTTGGGGGCACAAAGTTTTGATTCACTTAGATGGACTAAGTTGTGTTTAAGGCTGCAAAAAGCTGAGTTTGTTGAGCGTCTCTTGGCTGAGCTGGATTGGACCTGAGATGAACTTGGTAGAGCTGATCTGAGCAGGACAATGCTGGGCTTAGCAAGACTGTCTGTTCCAGGCTGAAGTTCGCTGGAGCTGAGTGGGGCCCAAGGAGAGAACCATGGACTTAAACATTGAACGGTGGGCCCATGGTAGCAGTGTAGTTTAGTTGGTAGGTGAGTAGGTAGGCTGACCTTTCGGTAGTCCACCAGCCTGGCCTAAGAGCGGTAGTCCTTCTTACTGTACGGCCTGTTTCCCAGGATGTGGTCGATTTCAGACACGACATGAGACGTCATCTTAGGAAGGACCTGGGCAAAAGAGGCAGAACAAAAAGATGCTTGGTAGGAAGTAAGTGAGAAATATAGCGAGGCAAAAGGAGAAAAAATAATAACTAGAATGGTTGTATGCCTTTGAGAACCAGTTAAGTTGCAGTTATGGTTTACATCTGTGTGTGAGACCATGGATGCTTCACACACATCTTTCCCCCGGCAGCACAGAAGATCTACACAAACAGCACAGTTTCAAGTTGGGCACCCAAGATACGTGTCACCAATTAAGTATCTGTCCAAATGTTGTCCCTTCTGTTCCTGAGTTATGATGCTGAATAATGTCCAGAAGTGTTTTTGCGGAACATTATGATGTCACAGAAGTTGACCTTTGACGTTTTTTAATATAAAATGTCATCACCTCATCTTTATGTCCTCCTAGACATGTATGTGAAATTTTGTCATAATTAGCGAATTAATTCATGAGTTTTGACCAAAAACATGCTTTGTGGGGTCACAGTGGCCTTGACCTTTGATCTTGACCACCAAATTCTAATCATTCTTGAGTCCAAGTGGACATTGGTGCCAAATTTGAGGAAAGTCCCTCAAGGCCTTCTTGAGATGTTACATTCATGAGAATGAAAAGGGCACAAGGTCACAGTAGCCTTGACCATTGACCACTTAATTCTAATCAGTCCATCACTGAGTCCCAGTGGACGTTTGCATCATATTTGAAGAAATGTCCTCAAGGTGTTCTTGAGATATGGTGTTTAAATGACTGAGACAGACAGGTCACAGTCACCTTGACCTTTGACCTATGACCACCAAACCCAAATCAGCTAATATTTGAGTCCAAGTGGACAGCTGTGCCAAAAATTCCCTCAAGGCATTCTTGAGGTATTACTTTCAAGAGAATGGAACAAATACATAACCTGGGAATACATCTCAGGTGCAGAGGCATAAAAACCTGCCTGTATACGGAGATTCAGAAATGGAGAAGCTTTCTGATGTAGAAATCAGTTGAGCTAAAGGATAGAAGTATATACAGCAGAGAAACATCAGTAAAAACAGCAGTGTGCGTGTGTTTCTGCATGTTCCCACCTGTATGGCCCCGAGGTTCTCAGTGAGCTGTTCAGGGTTGGATGTTCCCAGAAGAACTGAGCTCACTCCTTCGTTTCTTAAACACCACGCTGGAGAGAGACAGAGAGGTTGATGTTTACACAGAGCCCACTTGATGGCGCACTCCTGCTTAGTATTGTCTTCAAACAGACCACAAACAAAACTGAGCTTGTAGTCTTGTCCTCTATTTGCTCTTCCTGGGTGTTCGTGACAATTTATCACAATGTGCAAACCCAAGGCTTTTGTTTGTTTTAGTCCATTTACCACCAATCTTAAACCTCCCATTACTGCCAGTCATTCTTCCAAAGTACGCCACAGACTTTCAAATGTATTTGCTTCTACCTTCCAGGCAGCTCAGATATTTTATCGGCGCACAATAAAGCAGTTGAATGCACCAACGCATTTGAAAAGTCTGCGTGTTTGTGTGTCGGTGGGGCGCTGGAGGGAAAATCAAATTGAGACAAACAATGAGCAAACGCAGACATTGTGTAAAGGATGATGTGAATTCAGTCACGTCTTGCATTAAAAAAGGTTCCTGGTTGACAGCCCTGAGCAGTTGTGTTTTCAAAGCCCTGCTTTAGGCTGCTTCCACAGTGTTTTGCTATAAGAAGGTGAAGTCTTACCCACAGCCAGTTGAGGCAGAGTGCAGCCCAGCTTCTCGGCAATGTGGTTGAGCTCCTTCAGCTTGGCTTGCTGCTTCCTTCCATCCTCACTTACTATTTTCTCCTTTAACCACTGATACGACTGGCAGGAGAGAGGAGAAGGAAGGAAAATGAAAGGTATGAGAAAATTAGATTACACAAAGAAACAAAAAGTACAGACAGAGACATAAAATAGGATAAAGCATGTATGAAAGTATTTAATTACAGAAAAGAAAAGGGGTAGAGAAGTAACAGATCAGAGAAAAGTCAGAATCATATGCAGAGTAACTTTACTAACTATTCTAAGCATCAGAGACATCTGCCTAATGTGTTGAATGATCATGGCGTACAATCAAAAAGGTGTTGGAAGTCCTCCACAGGGATTCTGGCCCATCTGTTTGTGTCTCATATCATGGGGGGTTGGGATCCCCAAAGGGGTCCCTAGGATATATTGATATATTGGACACAAGATCACTGTTAAAATCTTCTTACCAAGTCATTTGTGCTTGTAACTTCAGTCTTCAAAGTCTTGTGTTCTTAAAGCAAATGAAAAAAATCTGCCAATGTAGTGAGAATATTTCTTCCTTTTCCAATGTAAATTTATTTGTTTGAAGCTTTTTTAAAGCAAGCTGGTGCCTGTCTCTTCTTTCTTGGCTCAAGATACAGAGACATATTTCTATAAACAATTTTCACAGTACCTGCAGATTTTCCACTTGTTTTAAGAAAATAAGTTTTGGGGATTTGAAATAGATATTAAAGTATGGCACAAACTTCTGCTTGTTAATTTTCTTGACAATACTTGACACTCTTCAGGCTTCTAATAATCCTTCAAAGTAAACAGTCTGAGGGAGAAAACTTCTCATAACTCAGGACCAACCTGAGGCCATAACCTGCAACATAGGGTCATGAGTAGACAAAGGCGGGAACTGCGCATTGGTCCGACAGCCCATTGGTCCGACATCCCATTGTTCCGACCATATTAAACCCATTGTTCAGAAGTCCCGTTGTTTCGAAATCATCATGATGCCCTGTGGTTAAGGTCTGGTTAGGTTTAGGCACAAAAACCACTTGGTTAGGGTTAGGAAAAGATCATGGTGTGGGTTAAAATGAAAAAGAAAGTGGCAAACACATAAGCTGTGAGCCTGCTTCGCCTTAAGCCTTTCCCAGCTGACCCAGAGCCGGTCGCGGAGCCGCCGGGAGCCGTTCAGCACCGCGGAAAGCTCCCCACACAACCCCGACCCCAGAGTTAATAACAGGAGGTTATGGTGTTTCACTCTCTTCTCTCTATGACGTATCTCGACCAGTAGCCTACTTTTGTTGCATTTGCTGATCCTCTATGATACACAAATACAGTATAGCCTAGTATAATCACATATCGGAACAACGGGACGTCGGACTAATGGGATGTCGGACCAATGAGAGGTCGGACTAATGATATGGACCCGACAAAGGCTGGGAACCACAAGTGGGTATGTATACACACTAATTATTCTGAATATGACAATATTCTGAACTTGATATGGTCATGTAAACATCATATTCCATTTGGGTTTTCCAAATTATTTATTTTTTCGAAATGAGCATTTCCGGATTAAGACATGTGGGGTATGCTGGTATTTTTTGGGTTTTAATAGCATTATTTGGACATGTATACAGCGCATTCGGAATATGCGTCTCAACTTTTTACCGCAGATTGCAACACATGGCCTCTTGTCTGTATATGGTCGGCTCTGTGCATTGTCACAGATATGTTGTATACAACCCAGTTCGCCAAAAGTTTGCAAGGCTACTGTAGAGATGCATGCCCAAAGGAAAAGCCCACATTTCTGGTCTGAGGAAGAAACACACCTACTTGTAAATATGATTAAAGACTTGAATATCAACAGGTTTTAAAATATGCGCAAATATCGTAACAGCAAACTTTCAGGAAGTTGGCTGAAGAGAGTAAAGTCCTAAAATCCTATTTTAATGCAAAGAAATAAAATGACAGATGGCTAATTGGAATATACATGGCTGCATGTAAATGAGAATATTAGTGGAATATTTATTTCAATTAGCCTTGGAACCAGTTAAGTAGTAATATTGTCTTTTTCAGAATAAAGGCAAATACAGGACTATTTTGTGCATGTAAACGTAGCCAGTGTAACCGATTTACCAAACAATTAAGTGATAAAAAATATATTGAAGCCACAATCTTTTGGTTGCATGTTTAAGAGGATGTGCAAACACATTTCAATGCCTCAAGAACTACACCTGCAGGTTTTCAAACTCAGCAGTGTGTGTCTGCAACATTTCCTTCTGTGCGGTGATACGGTTGGTGGGTGTAGTTTGGTAGAAAGAAAAAAGTTCTATGTGAAATTTCTCACAACAAGGCCTGTGGATTATCCTGAGTAACTGAGTCATGATTTCTGGAAAGACATTGCTGTTGAGTTTTTCAAATTATTTTTTTTGGCGCTTTGAGCACCACAAGCTGAGCGCCATCTAGTTCTGTTTATATTTGAGAGAAGGCAGACATCTCTACGGCTGATATCTCTAACACTCGGCAACTCACACCAAAAACAATCCAGACTGATGAACAGCTCTACAGGTAAGAGGGAAAATATGTATTTTTGGTTTTGGGATGAACTGTCTCTTTAACAGAAGTTGGCTGTGACAGCCAGCAGCAGGTGCAGGAGGACTGGAGATAAAAACAACAGCCTGGTCTGAGGTGATTGTAGATAAAACTATGAGGTCCATGCCAAAGCATGAACTATGAAATGAGATGGAAAATATCCAGGTGATATCTGACTTTAACTAGGTTACACAAAGCTATCGAGTTTGGTACGATCTTAGCTAGCACCGATTGAGTCTGTTAAGGATTAAAGCTTTCACTTCAAATCACATGGTCATTCTATTTTGGGAGCAGAGCGTGTGTTATACAGCCAGAAAAACAAAACCACAATCAAGTTAACTTTGCTTACCTTCATGGAGGCCCTGGAAGATTCAGGAATGCCATTTTCATATTTCCCTGTGATGATGCCTCATGCCAGCGGTGACCACGTCATCGCCCCAACTCCTGTCACCATGGAGACCAATATAGGGAGTCAAACAGGAGGAGTTTTATTAAGATGCATTGAAGGAAGAGGCGTGAAAAAATGTGCGAGAACAGTGCCAGGAAAGTGAGAATGTATGAAAAGATGCAAAAAGACAAAGTGATTAAAACACAGAGGGAATGAGCAACAGAGAATGAAGGATTAGTTATCAGTTTAATTAATTCCTTAATTTTACTCATCTGTGACAAACAGTGCAAGAATGCTCTCACCATAGGATGTTTGTGTGAACTTGTCATTTCATCATGAGGCACTGATTGACTAATTCACCATAATAGTACAGAACACACACACACACACACACACACAGAACACTTGCCTATCTTGTGGTAAAGTTCAGGAAGTTGCACTTCTACTTTCTCCCTCTGGAAGAGATGATACTCCGCCTGCTCACACACTGGAGGGATCAGATTAAACTGTCTTGCCACCGAATACGCCTCCTAGAGATAAAAAAAAAGGAGGGCAGAGAAAAGGGGTGAGAATTAATGAATGGTTGTTATGATGTCGCATCTCGCTGCGGCAGCATCCTGTTATGCAGCGTTTACTGTAATGCTGCATTAGCACGTTTGTTTTGTTTTCACTGAGAGTAGAAGAATAAATGGGATGATGGTGGGTAGGAGCAACAGTTAGGAGCCACAGATGGTGATGGGTTAAACCCAGGGAAGAGATGAGAGAGAGGGGGTAATCAGCTTGTGGGAGCGTGGCACAAATTCAAATGCAGGGCTCACAGTAAGTCACCCAATCAATATTCCATATCATAACTCTCCGAGGCATCATATTCAAATTCCGCTCTATACATTCTTATCTGTGTCTCCATGTGTCCTTCAAGAAACACATGCCAGAGGAAACACACACAAATGTGTTTGGCTTGTTGCCTCTTTAAACATTCCCTACTTTTTTCACTTTGTAGGTCTCCTGCTGTGGAACACATGTCAGGATGAGAGAGGAGTAAACGAAGGGGGAATCTGTTCAGCGTAACGCAAGTATAATGTCAGTGCCATCACTCAACTTACAAATTACATGTTGCCCTTCTGTTCTGCAACCCCATGACATGCGCCTCGAGCCTGTGTGTGCGGCCATGCGAGGAACTCTGTGTGTGTGTGTGTGTGTGTGTGTGTGTGTTTGTGTGTATACTGTACCGCTGCCTTGTCACATAGACTGAGAAGGCGTGTTTACCCCCCCCTTCATTATGGATGCTATCTAAATTACACGGCTTTCATCTGGGCTTGTGTTCTACAAAGATATCTGCTCCTTTGCGCCATGATCACAGAGAGAGGGTGTCAACACATCTCGCTGTGCTCAGAGGGGGAGGGAGAGGGTGAGAAAGACACCAGAGAAAGGAGAGTATGGGTGTTAGGTCCTTGAATGTCACTTAAGGCATGTGATCATTCTGTGCTGTGGCTTCATACTCCACGTATATATTCATAACTGTGGCAAGAGTTGAAACGGGAGGGAGATTGTTTCTGACAGGAAGGGGAAACAACAATGAAGGAAACAGCTGGGCCTCTGTGGGAACACTTCCCAGAAAAACCTGTTTCCTCAAACTTTCACACAGGCCAATTTTCCATTGCGTCCTTCCTTTCATTACTCGTTCACGATCATGACTATGCATGAGCAATGAGTCCAAGGAGATGATAATGAGCTGCTAGAAATGGGTCCTAAAGATGTCAAGTTATAGAAAATAACAAGTGTTTCTTCAGCTTCTTGAGAGTGTATTCTTTGGATTCTTCTACCTTCTGTTATTCTAGATGGATACAAAATCTAATTTGCCAGCAGCATGAAACTGAATCACTAACACTGTATTCCATTATTTACTTCTGATGAGCTGAGCTGAGTTTAAAGCTGCAGTACAGCATCTCAACAGTGTTAATTTAAACTTTAATTGAAGTTAACACTTATTCTGCTCCCTATGTGCTCTCAAGAAACTTTGTTTAGCTAGGGTCCAAGACCTACCTTTATTACTTATTGCCACAGCACACTGTCCTTTTGGTGATTATGTGTGGCACACGAACTCCCTATTGACTGTCCTGCATGGTTGTCAGGCTAGGTGGGATGGGCTTACCTAGTTGTAGAACCTCTGTTAGTTTGACGGGGGTGTGCTAAAGTAATAAAGAGATAGGATTCGGATCAGGTGTGGGACCGCATTTGATGAGAGATGTTTGTTGGTGCTTCTTCAAGTCAATGATGCTTCCTTGGTAGGATGCATCTTTCCATGTCAGGTCCTACAGAGGCTAGGTAAGACTCCTTCCTAGCCATTGGTGAACACACATTGGAACATGCTAGCGAGGGCCCAAGTGTGCATCATTGAAAAGGCCCTGACTTCGATTCCGGCAAATCGTACACCAAGAATTGTGGATACTTCATCCCCACTGAGGATACACACATGCATCCTTTAAAATTCTCTGAAAGAAAGATTCAGTCCTCGTTGGAGTCTGAAGGATCCTTGAAACTGGAACAGTCCTTTGATGGGATTCATTTATGTAGCCTCCTTGAAATTCAGCCATTTAAGGATCCTTGCTTGACTTTGAGAAGCACCATCTGAGTGCCAGTTTTGTCTCGACTTATTGTCCCCATGTTTAATGTCTATAAATATACTGTCAATAAAGTACCGAAGCGAAGCAGTGTCGGATCATGGAGAGTGAGCTGACCAGGTGATGGCCATAGATCAGTGCCAGGACAACAAGGCAACAGGTTGGCCTACATCCCTTCCCTTTAGCCTGGCAGCCGAACACACTCTCTCTGGTGATATATGTATGGGCAGCCAAGCCCTGGAAGCCCTTGACGAGTGTCATCCCTAAGTAATAGTATCAAGTGCCCAGGGATGTGTCTGCTGTGAGACTTGTAGAAAACGTTTACCAAATGATCCACTTGAATATACTCATTCTTTTTTTACTGCAAAACACACTTCTCCAACCCAGAAATGACACTAAAAGCTGTTTTCTACTTACCATAATCTCCATGGCCGTCCACCGAGATGTCCCCCAGTACATCGCCATGCCTTGGTTGATCACATAGGTCATGGCCCGAACAATCTCTGCAGAGATATACACACGCCAGCATCACATCAGTCAGTCAGATCGACAGTGAACCACTCATTGATTCCACCATGTAGCACTAGTAACAGACAGTAACACCAGTATGTCTTCGAAAAAGCGGTAACATTCATCCTGAAACGGCCCTCTGCCAGTTTACGCTCCACCTTCAGCTCTGCACTCCAAGCAAACAAAACACATCCATCCCTGCTGGATCGACTTTAAACACATTCAAAATTCATGCAGCAAAACGGTTGAGTCTTTTAGGCTAAGTTCCCGAGACTCTGAGGAGACACAGCAGAAACCTAAAATATTTCTCAGCATGTTTTCCTCTTTTCTTGAAGCAGCTGTTTAGGATTAATGAAAATTCAATGTATACAGTAAAGCCTTAATTAACTCAGTAGAGTAAACTTTAAAATGTAATAGAGTTAATGAAAGCTTAATGAGTAAGAAGAGACGTAGGAGAGACTTTTATGTTTATCTAAAATTAAAATCAATTTGTCAGTTGTTTATCTAAAAAATGTCACCAGGGGACATTAGTTTTATTCAGCAGGTGGAATTAAAACCACTTCATTGAAATTAACTACAAGAAATCTTCAAAATAACAAACCACATCACAGGATCGCACGTTTTGTATGTAATCCACATATGACAGGCAAAAAACAAAGGTGGCACTGAAAGATAAAGTGATAGAGAAAATGCTATTGCTTCCTTTATTTCTTTTTTTTTTCTACCGAGGATGAGGATAAGAAGATCAGAAGTGACTTGCCCAGAGGCGGGCAACATGAATCGACAACAGCCAAGCCTCATGAGGAGACAACGCCAAAGGCAGAGAGATGGATGAAACCCAGAAAACCAACCAAAAAACAGTAACAAAAAAAAAAAAAAAAAAAAAAACCCTGAAAGGAAAAGTGGAACAGAAACAATGAGAATGCATGCATTAGTGGGTTTGCTGATGCACTCAGGACTCAAAAACAGCAAAGAAACAAGAGTAAGGAAATTAAAAGGCAAAATCTGAGATAAAAGGTGGCCTTAACGAACTGATGAAGGAAAAAAAACAACTCCTTAGAGGCCACCCACCTCCTCGAGTCTCTCTTACCTGCTGATGTCTCATCACCCGTCCCTAACAACTCTAGGGACAAACTAACAAGCTCACATACTGGAGCCTCTCTGATCACACTCAAGCCACTGCATTTTTAATGACGCAATTAGCTCCAACACTGCTGACTGCACGAGCCAACAAAAACTCAGATTAGGACTGTCATTAAGGTTATTCATCATCACCCTGCACTCACTCCAATTATACAGCAGTCCTTGAATGTGGCACGACTCTTGTATTTCACTCTGCATAAATGACTCTTGGCAAGACGACAGCATATGAGGGGTAAGAAGGTCAAAGAAAACATCGACAGTGAAGAAAAAAGGTTGGCGACAAAGTCACCAAGGAGGAGGAGAAGTTGCAGAATACATCTACAGGAGCGTATAATCAGGAAGACCTAAAAAGACTTTTCATTCTCCCTTCATTTTGAAATAATAATTAACAATCTGAATCACAGATGCCTTACTAAATACCATCCTGTCGTTGGAAATAACACAGTATTAAGCAAAGTAAACAGTCTCTTTCCTCTCTCTTGTTCGCCTGCCTTCCTCTCCATCCCTCTAACTGCCCGCCTACCATCCAGCTCCAGCAACACGCTGTGATTGTTCACACTGCGCTCACATTTAAATGCTACTTGCCTCAATTTCCGACCAATATAACAAGAGAGAGGAAGAGGGAGTGAAAAACAAGTTTGAGGACGGAAGAGCAATAACAGTTGAAGGAATTAAAAAGGAAATGAATAGCGAGTGCAGATGGTGGGGGAAAGTCAGCTGAGTTTGCAGGACAGCGGAAATCAATAAAGAAGCAGGAGAAAAAGTGTAAAATCAAGGTGTGTGTATGTGTGTGTGTGAATGCACAATATTCTATACTGCTATACTTCATCAGGAAAACAGAATTTCCACAATATCACAATTTTGGGCAACACTTTCTATGAAGACCACGTCTATGATGCGCTATTAGGGCATTTAGAATGAATTATAATTTTATAAATTTGAATTATAAGGGTCAAGTGTCTTATGGATGCTCTTAATTAGTTATAAACTAAAGGCTGATTGATGGGGTTCTCAGCGGCTTGCCGTCGCATCGAGGCAATCCTCTCGTTCCCCAGGGAGAACTCCAACAGAGTGGTGCCTCTGAGTATCCCCACACCCGCTCAGCACCTCTCACCCTGGGTAACTCCAGAAAAGGCGAGAGTCTAGCCCCTTTCCAGGAGTTTGGTTCAAGAACTGGCGATGCACGTAGAGGTGAGCCCAGCTATATCTAGTTGGTACCACTCCACCTCCTGCACCAGCTACGGCTTCTTTGCAAGGTGGCGTTTCACATCTCAAGAGCCAGTTGTGGCCACCAGAGGTCAGCACACCTGGGTCCCTGCCCCTGCTTCGTGGCACACAATGCACCCGGCCCTGATGGCAGTCCCTACGGGTGGTGGACCTATGGGAGGAGGGGTTTCATGTCATTCATTTGGGCTGAGCCCAACCGGGTCCCATGGACCAAGGCTTGGCCACCAGATGCTTGCTGGTGAGCTCCTCACCGAGGTCTGGCTCCAGAGGGGGGCCCTGGTGTCCCCATACCGGGTGAGGTACTCTTTTCCCAAATGTGCCGTTTCATTGAGGCTTAGTCTGGGATCACACTTTACTTAACACCAACACTGAAACGTTACAATGAAGCATGCATTATTATAGCTGCATCAATATGTGCTTCATTTAACACATGCAGTGATAACTGATGATACTGCACGGACTATTATTGCAGAGTCCTTCCTACAGTTGATTGTTGAGGTGTGTCTAGGTGAGTATTGGTATTCATAATGCATCATAAGCCCCATCAGTCGACCTCTAGTTTATAATTAGTCAAAAGCATCCATGAGACACTTACAATTCATTGTAAGTCACATCTATAGTGTTTTATGACTGTTGATATAGTGCATCAGGAAGCATCATGTGTGTTTATGAGTGCAGTCATTGAGCATTATAATTGCATTATAATTTACTATGAATGGCTTCATAATGTATTATAGATGTGGTCTTCAAAGAAAGTGTTACCCAGTTTTGTTAGACTTATATAATTACCAGTAGCATATTAGTCTACAATATGGGGAATGTATGATCTGAATTACAAACACTTTATTTGAGTCATCTGGGCTGTACAGATGCTTCTAGTTTTCCATTTTGATTTAGGTCCAATCAAGTTATCTAGAAAGTCTTGTTCAGTTTAATTACATTTATTATAAAAGCCCCGTTGAAGGAAAGCAGGAATCCTGAGCAATGCAAGGGCAAAAGCAAATTTATCAGCTATTGAGAAAAAAACAGTTAATGGCTTTACTCATGGAACACTATGGTGCAAGATTAATGCATGATAACTGATGTGCAACCAATACACCACTAATATGTATGTCAATAAGAAACTTGATAATGACTTATAGAGGAGTGCCTGCCTCTCTTTAGCTCTACTGAAGGACACAGTTTTGCAGGAGTAAAACTGGACTTAGAAGTCTTGTTAATTATATAACATGAGCATAAAACAGCTCCAACATCACCAGTTATTCTCTGTGAAACACACCGTTCAGACACTGAGGGCGTCTTAACTTTGTTGTTTTGCGCTCTCTAATTTCTTTAGCAAGTACACCGTCGTCCTGAAGCCAGTGAACCACATCAACATCCCTTCTCACTAGTTGACTGTTCTGAAAGGGTTTAAAAAATGCTGCTTAATACATGTTCTCATTTTTATTATGAGATACTAGCAATATGTGTACACACTAGACATCCACAGTTAATTTAGAATTAGCAAGTCTCAAGTCACAGCTCACTCTAAGCTTGATTAAAAACCCGAAACTTATTCAAAACAGTAAAGGCCAAAACAAGTGCCAGAATAAATAACATCAACATCACAAACTGAGGCATTAAATTCTAGTGAAACACTTGCTTGACATCATTACTGCCAATTTATTTGGTTGCTTAGGTGTAAAGCTGAACGTTGGTTGGCTGACTCACCCTCCATGGGAGTATTGCTGTCAGGGCGGTTGGCAAAAACTACATCTACATACTCCAACTGCATCCTCTGTAGAGAGCCTTTAAGACCTGAGAGACAGAGAGATGCAAGCTCAGACAGTAGCGAGTGACTGAATTGATTCAATAAAACACTGTGTGGTGGTGAAGAACTTTTATTTCAGGTTTGTTCAAGTTGTTTTGTTCATCTTGCACGTCTTACCTTCAATAATGTGTTTCCTGGACAGCCCTCTCTCTGTCTCTGCTCTGATGGGACAAACACACACACCAACAGTAAGCTGCACTGTCAGTCTTTTTCAGTCATTCATTTTCTTTTGGATCTTGGGCCAATGCTCTTTGTGTCCGTTTTATCTGCGCAGACAAGGCTGTAATAACAGTTAGTTCTTATTTTTGTACTCTTGTCACCTCCTCCTTGCAAAGTGTCATGCGACTAACAATGTAAATGAGTGAACAGACAGCACGAGTGGGTGCATGGGCAACTTTATTCTTGTGTGTTGTATGTTGCTGTGTTTGTGGCTGTCAGTGCATTAAATAACTAACATTATCCGAACTTTGTGATACATAATCAACTTTTAAACATCAATCATTTAGCTTACAAGCACATTAAAAGTCATTTTAAATCACATTTAAGGGGGCATGACACGAGAATGTGCGACTCGTGCTGTTTTCTGTAAATGGGTCAGCACGCTTTCAACTTTTCAGAATCATTATACATCCAGACTCTGGAGGAGACAGGTGGAGGGCTGAATCTTCCTCACAGGGATGAAGGAGTGCTGTGGATTGGAGAGAATACCTTCATCCTTATCACAGGAACCAGTTGGGACAGTCTCTGCCAAGGAGTGTGAGTATGTGTGTGCGTGTGTGTGTGTGTATGTGTTATGAAACAGATTTCTTATCCCCTCTCTCTCTTTCTCCATCCTCTGAAGAGGAACTGGTTCATCCTGGACTGGTTATTGTATGTGACATGATGTTGCTCAGGTTGTAACAGAGAAAAACTTAAGTGTTGGGGGGGATCTACCAATAATGTCTGTGAAACAAACCTACAGATGGTACGTGCTGAATGTCACAGGAGATATGAGGACATAACCTTTAAATGTAAATTATCAAGGTATCTATGACAGATACTCCTGGGGGAAAACTTACACCACAATTTGCAACTAAGGGCCGAGACACTCACAAAATGGCTGTAGCTCACTAAATATCAGGATTGATATCAGGATTATTTTAGCGCCTTATGTCTACCAGAGAGGAAGAGTTGCATTGACAAACTTAATAGTATTGGTCTATCTCAGTGTCCCCTCTCCATACCTTGCTTATCTTAGAGTCATAATCCCACTGAACGGCCAGTAGCGGCATACTATTTGATCGAATCACCAGGTAAGATCATCATTTAAGCTAACAAAGATCAAAACCAGGCCTTACACAGCTTAGTTAGCTTCAACCTTCACTGTTTGTCCGGCCAAAATGAGCAAAACGCTTACTGCATGTAGGCATACTGAGTCAGGATCCTACAGTTTTGCTGTATATCCCTGCTGATGTCTCATGTCTTACTGCTTAAAAGCTCAGTTTGGCAGTTTGTACAAGCTTAGTTATGAATTTTTACCATGTTGGTTGTGCATCCCACCACAAAGCAGCTTTTAGGTATTTTTCTGTTTGTTAGCAGACGTAAGTGACAAGAAGGCACCTTCACGAAATATAAAGTCAGTGGTGTGCGATGACTTGTTTTCCCCTCAGGTGGGGGCGGGACTTAAATGTGCTCTGTCTCTATGATTTGAAACAAATTAGTTTTACATTTTTTGGGGGGTAACTAAAACTTTTTTTGGTAAACTCTTCTCCTCTGGTGGACATAAATCTCATAAGTCTGTGTGTGATGACTGCTTTGTGTGACTGAGTTATCTTTATGTGATGTTGTATGTTTGTAATTTGTTCTCAGGTGTCTTTTGTTGCACAGATCTTGATCTCTGTCAGTGCAGTTACATGGACATGAATAACTCATTTATGATCAGGCTTTTGGAGTGTCCTGTTTATGTAAATACCATACACCATTTCAGAATCCTGGAAAAGCCCATACCCCATCTATGAGAAACCCTATTACTGTATGCTAGCTGGAGTACTCAAAAAGAAAACTGGGATACAGTTGCGTTTATACACCTTTTCCTGGCTGTTAAAGGCGGCCTACTACCTGTGCAGGTGCAGCTTCAGTTGAGTAAAGTAACAGAAATACCAACAATGTCAGCAGCGACAGCTTCTCACTTCTGGGTGATGAAAAAATTGAGTTTTGTCTTTTGGTATTGAGAGAGGCTGTGTATCTTTATTCACTGCTCCCTGTCCTACCTGGTGGTAGTGACAGTGACAGACTGGCGCCCGTGTGAAGTGAAGACAGTGTTGTAAGAGTAGTGTAGCTGCGTTCAGGAATAACATTATGTGAGCAACTGCATAGTGTGTGTGTGAGTTTGTGGTTGAGGGATGGTGGATGCACAGAGAAGAGATTAGCAGTTAAGTTGTAAAGTGGAAGTAACTGTGCAGTGTTGTGTTCAATATTTCTTGTCGCTCTCATCTCCCATTGTCGGTCTGTTTTTGTCAACATCGTAGGCGCCTGCGCAAATGGACTGCAGTAATTAGTATTATTAGTATTATTATGTATACGGCAGATATGAATAACCCAATTTCTTTGTACTCCTGTAAACATCATATCCTGAATATGATCATAACTGGGATAAGCCTCACAAACAGGTTATTTGTGTCCATGTGAACACACCCAATGAGACTTTATAATCTATTCACAGTCAAGTGTGGAAATGACAGTTTAGAGAGTTTCCCACTTACTTTCCTCCCCAGTAGAGTTTAGTTGTGATGACCAAGCTGGATCGCCTGAGAAAGAGCAGAGAATCATACAGAGAGTGAGAGGTACATCATGTATTATACTCGCTCTGTGTGTTCTCTTATTTAGACATACATGGCTCTACAAGTGTCCTTGCTACTACATGCGGTCCCGTCATGGATGTGTTTATCCCCCACAGTGCTGATCCTGCTCTCTTTGTTCTCACTGTCACTGAGGTACATTCAGTACCTAAGCAGTTTAACATGAGCGAACGTCCCACTTTCCTCAAAGTGTTGGACAAATGTGTGAGAATGTGCTTCCCACATATTGCTCAAGAGATTTTGATGACACCCTGTCACTACACATCTGCTGCTCTTCTAAAATCACTGAACCTCTCCACATATTCTTCAGCATCACAAAAGATGACCTGGCAAACATTATTTCTGTTGTCATCGGATTAAAGGATAAAGTCAACATTTTTCATCAAGTGGCATTTACAGAGTTGCGAAATGATTTTCAAAGTTTCACATAGCAACTTGAGTCACATGTGACGAATCAATTCATGCTGTGTATGTAACAAAATATGAAAATATTCAAATAAAAGCAGCACTAAAAGATGTGTTATATTATCCATATTACTTTCCCCTAAAATATGTAAAAAGTGGACCACCATCCCTCAGTGCCGTCTGCCGCCTCCACCCTTAACTCATGACGACACCCAGACACTGAAATGTCAGGTGCATTATGTCTTTACTGCGCCAGCATCAAACGCCTACTGGTGTAATGTAGTCAGCACATGACACTGAAGGCGGGGACACACATTACGACTGTTGAGACAATTATGAACATGATTTGGGCATGATTGGACCAAGCTGGGTCTGCTGCTGTCTGGGTCAGCTCATGTTGACAGTCTGCAGATAAAAACATAATGTGTGTGTTATATTACGGGTGTTTTCACAAATAGTCCTTTTCAAACAAACTGAACTCAGCCCTCTTAAAGTGCACCAAAAAGTGGACCAACAGAAAAGGGACTCAATTCTTTTTGTGATCACATTTTCATTTTGGGTGTTTTCACATTTAGTCCTTTTTAAATCAACCGAACTCAGTCCTTTAAAGTGCACCAAAAGGTGGACCAACAGAAAGGGAACTCAATTCTTCTTGCGTTCACATTGTCAGTTCATTTGAAAGAGGACTCAGTTCTCTCTCTGGTCCACCTCAGCTCTGATGGGGCCTCAGTCCTCTTTCTGTTCACACTATAGCCTGCATATTATATATATTGATGTAGTTTTACTTTTACCTTGATGTGCGTTATGAACTTAACATTGGAGGAGTTCTCTTGGAGTGTTCACATTTGTGCAAAAAATACTGAGTCACTGCTCTGAGTCCGAAAAGGACCAACTGTGAAAAAACACCCCTGATTTAAAAGTCGACTCGGTTCTCTTTCTGGTTAACTTCAGCTCTGGTGAGGTCTCAGTCCTCTGTCTGCTCACACTATATATGATATATATTGACATAGTGTTGTGATTACTTTGACGTGGCACTACAGTGCAGTTATTAAGCCCCTCGCTTTCTGATTAACTTAAAACTTGGAGGAAAACCTTAGTGTTTCTGTGCTGTAGACTGTTGCCACTTGATGTATTCTACATTCTACATCTGGAGACGTGCAGTATCTTCCGTGGACCAAACTACTCCTTGCCTGCTTCCTTGCAAGAGTTACAGACCAACATGGTTTCGTCTGTTTTTTCAAGCGTTCCAGTGCAATAGCATGTGATCTAGAGGGCTAAATACACTGGCAAAAAGCAAAGCAAAGCTGGAGCGCTTTGTGTTCACAATGCACAGGTTAAGTGATCCCCACCAGGGGTCTGAGTTCTCTTGGAGTGTTCACATATGCCCAAAAATGCTGAGTCACCGCTCTGAGTCCACTTAGAGGGCTGAAAAGGACCAAGTGTGAAAACACCCTAAGACTCTTTTTTTAAGTCTTCAGATCCAGCTGCTGCCAGTCGTTCTCATCAAAACACATACCAGTAAATAAACAAAAGAAGAAGAATGGCAAGCAAATCATTGCAAACTGCTGGTCGCTGTCTGTTTGTTTTGGTATGGGGTAGTCAGTCATAAGGTTTAACCTTGTTCTTGCCTGTCAAAGACTAAAAAAAATCTGAGCAGGTTGGTAGCAACAATCTGCATGTGTGCTGTGTCCAGTCTTTGTAGGTTTCAGCTCGTTGTCCCAAGCTTAACGAGTGATAACATGGTGAGAAAAGACAAGCAACTCACTGTTCGTACTTTACAGCTGCTTTATACTGACATATCATGGAGAGGCTCCATCAGGTACTTCCTATTACTATGAGTTACTTCCTTTGGTGTGACTGTAAGTCTGTCTCCCCTGTTTCCTACAGAGCTGATCAATAATTCAAGTTAAAAAAAAAGGCTGAGCATGTTTAAATATCTCCTTAAAGGGAATATTTGAGATTTGTGGAATCTGAAAGTGCCTGCAGGCAGACTTTTATACAGTAACTGTTTAAAGCTGCTGTACTGTGATGCAATGTGTGCAAGTGTGTGTGCAAAAATACACAAATTACTGAAAATAAGAAATGTGGTCTGATTGAAGCAATATAAACAAACCCTGAGGAGGCAGATATCATAGTGCCGATCTCAGCATCACTTACTATTTTTCACTTTATCAAACATGTCTGTCTCTTTCACGCACTCACAACACCAACACATGCGTCTGCACACACCAAAGGGAACAAAAAAAGATCTCTCATTCCCATTCTCTTTGCCTACATGCCTCACACACACTTATCTCGCTGCCTCTTCTAACGCACACACACATCGTCCTCCGCCATCTTTCTGTCTCACAACAAAAGTGATGAAAAGCCATCACACACATTTATGTCATCATTACCTCCAGCATTTCTTCTTGATGATGGTTCCTAGAATGACTTCCGCCCTGCAAGGCAATATAAATGAGGCAGCGTTATTAAATTGAGGTTTGAATTCATAACCCCCCCCCCCCCCCCCCAAACACATGAACAATATCAAACCTGCAATTCATTGTCACCAAACTAGACAACGTTGCATTCATCAGAAAGATTGAGAACAACTTTGTCTAAAAACAGGCAGTTAGATGGTGCATTCAAAAGAGTTAAAACATTTTATGCCACAAGAGCCATCTTTTAGTTACAGAGTTTTTTTGACAGAATTTGTGCTTTATTATTGTTTTTTGTTTTATGTATTCTGGTAGATTATGCTACAGCTACACTCCTTAGTGGTGCTTGTGGTTTGTTTCAACAGCAGAAAGATCAAACCCTACTGACACTGGACTTACAACATTTAATCTCTCCAATTTTTAAATGTATTTTTTTACCAAATTTAAACTTGTTGAATGCTGACACAGTAACGAAAAACTTCTCACTTGCCCTGATAAAGCTAGCGCAGGCTGGAAAGGTGCTTTGCAGTATTTTCCTCACGTTTGCGTCAGACTGAGACATCAGACAGTGTAAATAAATGATAAATAATAAATATGTAATTCTGCTAATTAGATCACAGCGTAAGCCTTTTTTCAGAGCTGTAATGCACTTTGTTCTCACACAAAATCCAAAGTATTCCTATAATCCTAAAGATTAACCTAAGATTCTGCCTGAGTGTTCATATTTTATATATTTATATCCAAAGGCACAGGCTCAGGTTACTGAAAGCAACGAACCAAAACAACATCATAATCAGTGATAATAAGAATTCCAGCCGCACATTAACAGCAGTGATTTACTCTTAGTCCATTTTACACATCCTGTCTCGAATATAAAGCATGTCCAGTGGAAATGTTTTTCAAAGGTCATGAATAATTGTAAATTGCATGTTGCTCCAAACCTGCTGGTCATGTATCAGTTCGCTAAGTGAGTGGAACAAATTAGTCTCTGTATGTGTGAAACCTTCTGGCTACACATATAAATGATGAAAAACTCCTCCCGGAGCCACAGCGGGGCCATGCGTCTGCACCTGATCACACCAAAACATGATCAGGTTGTTATGAGCTCAACTGAACTGCGAATGAACTGAGAGGTTTTCTTCCGCACCCACCTGCCGCCTGCGTAGACCTCAGCTGTGTCGAACAGATTGACTCCACTCTCGTAGGCAATAGTCATTAGCTGCTCTGCAACCTGGCAAGAGGTGAGGACACAAACACACACACACATGCACACACAGAAAGGTCATTGAGCTAAAAATCTCTCTTTTTGACACCTGCAAATGAAACATTCATGACAGAGCTGTAGCATTCTGGCATTTCCGTATCTTCAGAATAAATATTTATGTGTTTCCACAGCTACGGTGTCCAGGGTTTACCAAAACCATTATCAAAGTAGAGGAAGGTGGCACACCATCAAAGCAGTGCAGCTTCATGTGGTATCAGAATATAATTTCTGATGCATTTCAGCCTAAGGCCTTCCTCAGAGCAAGGGTATTGTTTACTTCTGTTACATATATGCAAGACAATGAATACTGCGACACAACAGATCACACCAACATACATGTGCATACTCTCAAATAGCCACAAGAGGCAAGTTAAGGATCAGAAGACAGTGGCCAAGCAAATCTAATATCACACAATCAAGAAATTCATCAAACAAAATCGTTTAAAGGTCCAGTGTGTAGGATTTAGGGACATCTATTGGCAGAAGTGGTGTTTTCATTAATTCATAATCACCTGAAAATTAGAACTGTGTTGTTTTTGTTATCTAAAGCCCAGTTCAGACAACAAATTCCAGACGAGACAAAACCATTACAGAACAGTGTGAACTGGCCGGTGTGAGCTCGACTCAGGCCGGCCGATGGCGTCACCTGCAACACCTGGTCAAATCGCCAGTGGCTGGTTTTAGAACGTAAAGCACATCACCTGTTTCTACAGTCAGTCAGCTTGTAGCAAAGTCTGCTGGTCAAGTCAAAATGACCGCAGACGGTGTGTTGGCTTGCTGCAGCAGGTGCTTTGTCCCCGCCGAGCCTTCTGTTTCCATTGTCACAGCCTGCCGGTGTCAGACGGTGGGTCGCTGCTGCTGCTTGCTGTACGTGCTTCTCATTTACTGATTAATTGGTGCTGGTTCTTTATATTATTGTGGTGTATTTATTATGAATACAGTCCATCTGATGCTTGTTTTCTTTATGTTCTTTGCTGTTTCATCACTACTACAAATACAACTGTAGCCAGTATGTCACTATCACTATCCTCATTCATATTTTAAGAAGCTACAAATTATATTCAGCCACAAAATCAGCCTGAAAAGCTGGAAATCAGAGCAGAAGCACAGAGAGCTGTTGCATAGAGATGATACACTGTCTCATCTAGTTGCATTGGTGTGAACCGGCAGGTTTTTTAGAACGTTGCAAAATGGCACATTGCAAATAGTTGCCTGTTTCAGCTCATCTTGTTGAGAATCTTTGGTCCGAACTGAGCGAGTCCTCTACCACAGAGTTGGACATGTTGTGCTACAGTAGCCCAGAACACACAAATCAAACACTGACTCTGAAAAGGGCCATTTGTGTTTGCACACTGGCTCTCCTACACACTTTGCACACCGGAAAAGTTTCAGTTGTGCAATCTCAACACTAGATCTTTAACAGCTGAACACCCAGTTAGTTTCTGTCTCTAGAAAGCATGCTTGTTGTCTTCTGTAGTTTTCTCTAGCAGAACATAAATAATGTTCTCTGTATATTCAGCATGTAGCACTGTTTCAGTGCACCAGCTTATGTGGGATGGATTATTTTGTGAATGCAGAATATGTACAGAGTTGACATTTGACTTCTGGGCTCTGACCTTATAAGTCCACACAAGGATACACCAAAGTCAGCACAACAGGGACTGGGAGTGATTTTAGTAACTTTTCCCTGGAGGAACTTAAGTTTCTAGTAAACTTTGTCAAAACTGCACATCAGACAGTCAGATAGCTTCAGAAACTTCCTCCTTCCACACCTTTCCAACTTTGGATTAACCAGTTCAGTTCCCCCATCCAATCCAAGGAACACAGCTTTACTAGGATGACTATGGATTCATCACCCTCCTCAAATCATACCATCTCTATGGGGTCTAATTGCCAAAGACTTTTCTCATTTTCATTCTCATGTGCACATGTTGATAAATATTCTTTGTACTATAATAAAAATGATTGAAATGCTGTACTAATTTGATTTTCTAAAGAAACAATCAGGTTTTGAACATACCGTTTTCTGGTAATACTTCAGAAAATAGGAATATACAATACAAAATATATGCACAGAGTTTTAAAGCATCACTTTATGAATTGATATGAGTTAACTGATTATGTTAAACACACTTTAGAAAGGAGGCAATCAGAAGGCGGAGATCTCTGATTGTCTGGTGGCGAGACTAGTGAAAACCATATGACCATATACTGCCATTTTTACTAGTAGGTGGTTTCTCACACTCAGATTCTGTGTGCACTGGAATGGAAAGAAAAAAAGAACACATAATAAAATGATGACCATACTGACTTATGAGTGCATTTAGAATAGATATTCACCACTGCAATATTTTTGTTAACATAACTGGGTCCTGAATGGGATTGGGGAGGTTGTATAACTTTCCAAATCCGACAACACAACATTTACACCCACTTGTTGCTGTGACTGGTCAGCTGTGTGAAGGTGAGACAGTCAGCCAGGGTTTGAATTTCTCTCTCAATCGCTTTCTGTTATTCTTAACACAGCTATTTCTGTCACTTCTCATGTGAACAACTGAGTGCATTTATACAATATTGCGCCTCCCCTCTCTCTACGATGGCCTGCTTTTCACTCGCCATCAAGTGCAGCCGTTCTGAACATCTACAAACACTTAACACAATAAGACCTCATATAAACTAGCTTTGATGGAGCACAAGCCTCAAAGCTCTCAGGTGGATGCTGGGGTGGAGGTGGGACTTATGAAATGCTTTATGAACAGCAGTGCAGCAGGTATGGCAGAGCAAAGGCTTAACAACAGTGCCCTACTGCAGAAGATGTGTATATGCTGCAGTGAGCAGAGCACTGTATGTCCTGTGTGAGTACGCTGCAGCAGCACACTCAAGTTCCTGAACTCACACACTCAAACAGAGCTTGTACTGTAAGTCTGTTGAAGTACAGACTTTACAGAGCAAGTGGGACCACAGCATAATTATCTGTGGAAAATCATTTGACTCCATGATGTATGGTGGTGTCAACTCACTCCTCTTCAGTTAATAAGTGCCCGTGCTTTATATGAGAGTGTGGCATATGTGTAGATATCCTCCATATTTTCGGAGACATGGCGACCATAAATCATCAGACCGAGATGCAATTTCCCTGTGGTGAGTTTTATTACATGGGGACTTTAAGTGAATTTGCCATCGTCTCCCTGTGGAGTTATGTGTGTGTGCATCAGTTGAGTTTTGTGAACGAGTGCGGACAGAAGGGTGTGTTTGTGCATGTGGTGCTCGTGTGTTTGTGTGCATGAAATCTGTTTGTCTCCCGCTGTGTACATGCCTGCAAGTGCATGCGCAGTCAGTGGACGTGTGTGTGTGTGTTGCTGTTTCAGTGGTGGCAGACAGCGGAGGTGTTGTTTCTAGAAGAATTAGATAATCTCTCCTCTGAGATTCTGCCTCAACCATCTCTCTGCAACCAGCACAGAATGGGCAGCAGTCCAAGCCCATGTGTGATAATGATACAATAATAATAAACTTTATTTAATTAGTGTCTGTAGGGACAGTCCTTTAATGGACTCAATAAAAGTACAGGACAATAAAATTATGTACTATAACTATGTAATATAGATCAATGCAATAGAACAAAGACAAATGATGAGATAAAAGAGATAAAATTTCGACCAATGATAATAAAAATAATAAAAAGATAGCCAATAAAAGAATAAAAGGATGAGAAATCAGAAGAAATAGATTTGAACAGTGAATTAAAAACATTATTACAGCAGAAGCTCCTATTAGTTTTGAACTTATCAAACTTATCATAACAAAGTATCTTTACAGTTAGTAGCAAAGGAGGAATTTGATTCTATTAGCAGTATACACTGGTTTCTTTTAACTCTAATGGTGATCTTGACTAGTTGGTAATTTTTACAATAAAAAACTTTTTTTTATACATACATTTGCTGAAACTGTCACTATATTCACACAGCACTAAATGAGACAAATAATCTGTGGAAATAAACCGCATACTTTATTGCCATGTAAAGCATCTCAAGGCCTTACCACATGGGAATGAAAACAATCGGAGTCTCTGATGCATCTGTAAATCATGTCAGTATAAGGGTGATTTCACACCTGCCCAGTTTGGTTCGGTTCAGTCAAACTCAAGTTTGTTTGCCATCTAAGTGCAGTTTGTTTGGGCAGGTGTGAACACAGCAGTCACACCAAAACAACTGGACCGAGACAACCGAACAACCAAACTCTACTGCGGTTCGTTTGTGGTGAGAACGTGTTCCGACCTCGAGCCGAACCAACTGCAGTCACATGACACATTGTTTGGGTTAAACATGAGCATGTTACAGTCCTGGAGGATTATTAATGTGCACCTCCTCCTGTACTGCCTTAATATGCACATTCAGCACATCCAATGCATCAAAACATTGTTTTCTAGTTGGAGCCGCGCCTCGTTTTCAAACTGTATGGTTTGACTAAAATGAACAATGACAGCAATATAGTCCATGATGAGCAGCGCTAAAATCAACCTGCGTAGTTGTCCCTCCATTGTGACATTAGAAAGTGTCACATTTATCTTGCAAGTGTACTCTACTTCAACGTCAGGCATTTGATCTGGTCCGCTTGTAAATGCTGCCGTGAGAACACGAACCAACTCTAGGTCTACTTTGTAACAGAATTAGTCCCTGATTCAGACCAAAGCAAGACAACTCTATGTCTGAAAGCACCCTCAAACTAGACAGTGCCGATCAAATATGAATTAAGATTCTCTTACTTCGTGGCCTCAAATGTTTTCAGAAACATATTTTAGTGTACTGTTAAAATGAGAAAGTCGGTCTGGCCTGTGGGAGGTACTCGGTACTTTGGTTGACTACTTCCAACATGGTGGCCGGGTCACAAACTTTCTGATTTTACAGCTAAACAGTCTTGATTAATGTCTGATCAGTGCTACCTGGAGTGACAGTTGTGGACAGCTGTGT